TGGGCGTCAGCGGGACGTCAACGTCCCGCTGACGCCAACAAAATACTGGTTTGTTAGCTCAAGGCCTGGTTTCTTAGAGCTAGCGCCTTATATGGGCGTCAGCGGAAAGTTGACGTAGAGCTGACGCCAAAAAAATACTTTTTTGTTTTTTGTTAGCTCAGCGTGAGCAGTCGGTCCAACGCAGACATTATCTCTCATTGTGTATGCGTTAATAACGTAAACAAATATTTATTTTGAATTTGTATTGATGTTGTTATTATCGACCAGTGTTTTAGAGAACAAATAATGACTTTGTCCAAGAAAAAACACCTTATAGCTGAGCTAACTGAAGAGTGCTGTGTTTAATGAAGAAGCTACGTTTAATGTCAAAATCAAAATCTTGGCTGATTTCAATGTGCTGTTGGCTGTTGTCCGCCATTGCTTCTGTGGTTAACGTCACGTTGTAATCCAACTGCAGTTGAGTTGGACGGCAATTGTAGTTCAAGATGAGCGTTCGATGACGTATACTATCGAACTCACAAATGGACCAATCAGAGGTTAGCGCTGATTTCCAGCTGACGGCGTCCTGTCCTAAGAAACCAGGCCTTAAGTGTTAGCATATTGTTCGAGCTGCGAGATTAAGTTCATTTATAAATTATTATCATTTAGGTTTAAATTTCGAAGTTGGTATATTGCTAACAAAGTAAAAAGTGTTTCGAAACGATTCTTTTTCTTCATGCAATAATTCTTTCTTCTTGAAATGACAGGTCTGCAAAGGATGATTCGTGCAACGATTCTATTTTTAAACACAAATAATAAATCAGGTAACAAATACATGTATACAAGAAATGCTACACAAGAGTGTCTCAAAACACAATGAACCAAATGACTTCAAAACACACCAAAAACAGTAACTCAGAAGTATTCGCAGTCAACTGCTTGCAGCGCTCCCTAGTGTAGAAAACACCATCCATACCTGTGGCAGTTTGGAGTGGGTTGGAGGCTGCTCGCCTTCGCTACTCAGGTTCACAGGTGCCCACCGGATAACGTTAAAAGAACAGCACTTCCAGCGTCTTCCGAGGCAAAGAAAGAGCGTTCAGTGCCTGCCGTTAAATATATATATATGTTATAAAACTACTTGAATACCGGGTATTGGTCCTTAGCCTAAAAAAAAATAATAAAACAGTATAAAGTATAGCAGGCAGTGGCTCTTAACCTTAGAAAAACATCAGTGTAGGATATAACGGGCAGTGGTACTCAACCTTAAAACTAAAAAAAACTCAACTTTAATATATATATATATATATATATATAACCGTCGTTGAACAGCCGACCAAATTTTTGGGTTTACGACTACTAATGGTCAACTTCGCAGCCTTGTAATTTTGAACTCAATCCAGAAGACAAGGGAACTCCTGGATCAAGTATTGGGAGAACTTTGCCTTCGTGGACTTTTTGATTGAACTAACTCACATTTTCGTAACATGGAGAGGAAGACCACGAGAACCACCCACGGTTAGCCTGACGGCATAGGAACTCTAACCGTCGTCTACCACTGAGGATATTGCACGGTGGTCGGTGGTCGGATGCGGATTTGTATCGACCAGTAATCATGGGGTTCGAACCCGGTTCTCCTCATTGTAAGGCGAATGCTATGTCCCCTGAGCCATCGTAGCTCAAGATAATACGTTGGCCAACATGGAATAAAATACAGCTCGTTTTTCAAAAGCAAAAAAAAAGGAAAAAAACTACTACTCCTTAACGATTCTACTTTTTAAAGTGTAAAACGACGAGATGTGCACTTTCCGATCTAAAGTTCTAAGACACGTACGCCTGGCACACTGTAAAGAAACCAACATCTTTTCTCTCATCAGGTCACCCCAATATTAATTAAATAAAAAANATACTGGAAAGCTTGTCAAAAGATGAACGATTGATAGACTTATTGTATGTTGTTTCAGTTCTGTTACTGTTATCTCTATTTCATGTTATAATTTTATTGTTTATTTTCCTGTCTACTGTTGTCTTTTAATCTGACATTAGCAATAAAAAGAAATATATATATATATATATATAATACACAGTTGGATCTCTTATTGGAATAATTCTGAACATTTTCCATTAAGAATGTAAAATGAATCACTTAAATGCCTCTCCAACGTGTTTAATGAATAAAATAATAATAAGAAAATGAATCTTTATTCGTTTATCGTCCGCTACGAGTCACTTGTATAGAAGAAAAAAAAGCTTAAATTTTGAAATTTGCTAAAATTAGCGTTCATTTGTTGAGGCATGAAACTGAGCTGAAAAATTCTGTAGATTTTAAATATGTATTTATTTTTTATGTAACTTTAATGGATAAAAAAAATTGAAATGCGAACTAGGAAATAAGAGAAGCAGAAATATGAAGAAGGGTCTTCATCCTGATTAAATTCTTTATAACATCAATACATGCTTATCAATAAAATTTACATTTATTTCTTGCTTTCTTCTTTCTCAAGATTATAAATGCTTATACTTCAAACTATTCTATAGTGATAGAACATTACATATCGTACTATATACACTGCTGTATGTTTGGAGCTAGTTTTTAAATGTAAAAGTAGGGGTTGTCCAAGTCTTATTTATTTAAATTACACTATAATTCCAAAGAATCGCTATCGGAACAAAAAGTGCTCTTAAATACTATAGATAAAATCCAGACTTGCGTGCAATTGTCCTCGACAGAAAAATGTTATCGACTCAAAACGGACCAAAGGTTATACCGAGCTAACAAGTCCTCCATCTTTGTCCACACTTGTAACTGAATTCAAATTTAACCTTCATCTGACTGTCAGTAAACTTTTTACTCTGGGCATACACTGTAAAAAATTCTGGATCAAATTACGCTATAGACTTACTTACGCTATAGACTTACGCTATAGACTACTACTTATTCGGAAAATCCATTTTTACCGTAAAATATCCTACCGTAATTTTTACAGTAATATTTATTTCATGAAAGTGATTCAGTGATTTTAAGGCACTTTTAGTGCCTCGTCCATAAAATCCATTTTTATCATAAAATATTATATCATAATTTTTTACATATTTTAATTACATTAATTTTTTAAAAAAATTAAATATTTAATTAATTACACTGATGCAGTATTTTTAAGGTAATTATTAGTGTAAAAATTACAGTATATAAGATTTTTTGTTCCGTAACATGTTCCGGTAAAAAATGCCAATATCCTTCAATTGATTGTCAGTGAACTTTTTACTTTGGACATACACTGTAAAAAATTCCGGATCAAGTAACGGTATAAATTAAGTATATAGTAAATCAAGTACGGTATAAAGTACCGGCACCTTGGGTGCTTTATCCGTAAAATCCATTTTTATCGTAAAGCATCATAATATAATTTTTATAGTAACACTTATTTAATTAAAGTGATTCAGTGATTTTGCGATACTGCGTGCTTTTCCTCACTATGTAACGCAAATGCGGGAAAGTTCCATCAATGTGTCTCCCAATACTTGATCCAGGAGTTCCCTTGTCTTCTGGATTCGATTCAAAATTACAAGACTACGAAATAGAACATTAGTAGCCGTAAACCCGAAAAATTGGGTCGGCTGTTCAAAGACGATTATAAAATAAAATAAAATAATTTAAATTGAACCGTCAAATAGATTTTTAATTAAAATTTAATTGGTAAACAACATTTTAATTTATATTGAACTTTTGAACAGTTTTTAATTTGAAAGGAATTAACTAAGTACTATAATTTTAGTTGAATTAGCTCCACTTTGCAGTTGAAATTGAACTAACACTCTGTTTTCCAATTTAAATTGCATTAACTTAATTTTGCAATTTAAATTAAAATAACGCTTCTTTTCAACTGGAATTGAAATTATTCGGTTAATAATTAAAATTGAAATTATTGGGTTCACATTTATCTTATTTGAATTTTTTTAAATAAGTTACATTGAATTTGTTTAAAAATTTAAATTTCATTTGTTTAATATTTCAAAATGAATTGTTTGACAGCTTTTTAACTTAAATTGAATAGTAAAATAGCTTTTTACTTTAAATTGTAAAAATATAGTTTAAATTAACTATATTTCTACAATTTAATTTGACACTCTATTTAACATTGTATATTTAACAAACTATTTAAACTGAATAATCTTTGTTTTAAAATTTAAAATTACTTTGTTTTAAAATTGCTTTGCTTTACAATTTGAAAAAACTCAACTAAGTTTTATAATTTTAACTTAATTAACTCTACTTTACAATTTAAATTGAATAATCTTTCCTTTAAATCTATTATTTTATTGCCTCTAAAGAATCCCATGCATTTTTTTTATATATTTGTGAAATAATGATGTGCTATATAAAAACAATATCTGTGCTATATATTATCGAAATTTTAATAATAAATAACGATATTTCATCAGGAATTATCGTTATTTCACACTTTTTTCCTATTACAAATAATTTACATTTTTTCTACTTATAATTGCTAATATTTTCAATATCGAAATGAAATTAATCAACGCTAATCAACATTAATTAATCAACAATTAATTTTCCTTATTTACACTCGTGATATTATCCATAATTGTCATTTCTGATAATACTCGCAACATTATTTTAATTGATATTTATTATTTTCATTTTCATATATTTGGAATGATCACGATTATATCGTTATAATATCACGTGATATCACGTGATCATCTTAGTCATTATTTATCATTATCTTCATTATTAGTCATTAGTCTTTATCAACTAAACAGTACGGTAAATTTACCATAGTTTTTTTCTTCCGTGTAGTTGTTTAAAAAAGAATATATTTTTAAAAAAATATAACTACAAATTAGCCAGCTCTCATAATATCAATATAAAAAAAATAGGGGAAAAAAAGAATTAAAAAAAGTAAAATTGAACCTAACATTCAGGATAAGATAAAGAAGCATTGTATCAAAAATACCATTAATATGTACGAAATGTACTCATTATAGTTGAACTCAGACTGTAACAAAAATGTCACCGATGCAGAGTTTCATAAATCACGAGTCAGTCAAGAATATCTTATCACTTAATGACGAAACTTATTTTGTTGTAGTACAATAATCAGTTGAAGTGTTGAGTGCGTTTAAACTCTCAGTATATCAGTGTCTAATGGAGAAGATCGAATGATTATTTGTTCTCCCTAGAGGGTGAGTGTCCTGAGCATTTTTTTGATTTTTGTTTTCTCTCAGAGTTTATGAACTGTTTGCAATTTTGCAATGTCTTGGAATCGTAATATAGTGAAAATGTACCGTCATCTTAATATGATGGCATAAGTTTTACCATATTATATATGTTATCATGCAAGTTAATCCGTGATTACATGATACAGTTAAACCTGTCAAAATTGACCTCCAGTCTGAGTAAATCTCTTCTACAAAGAGCCAATTTATCCTACGTATTAAAAGAGACCAAAACCTTTTAAACCTGTCTATTTTGTATGTTGAGGGGTGATGTACGTGAAAAGTTTTGTTGAAATAAATAAAATTAAAATGTTTCAAAAATAAAGTGCTGACAGTTAAAATAATTAAAATTTATTTCGGGGTGTTAGTGAACGTTAGTGAACCCTTCATAGCCATAAAGAACTTTTTAGGAATTTTCTAGGTTCCGCATTAGAATTTCGCTGAATTCATAAAATAGTATTAAGAGCTAACCTAAGCTCCTCTGTGGGTTGGTCATATAAAAAAGCTATTAACGATTATAATGACATATGTTGTATACTTGATTCTTATATGTAAGAATAACATGATATTGAATCATGTAAATTGACCACTAAAATGTGTGGTTGACCACTAATATGCTCTCACAAGTGGTCAACTTGCGCAGGTTTTACAGCACTAAGATTCAATTTGAGAGAAATATTATTCAATTTAACGCCTTATTAAGGTTACAGCAAACTTGCATCGTATTATGGTTCAAGATACAATATAGTGGTTCAATGTTTAATTGATTTTTCTGTGAGTCTGGAAACACGGACGCGTATCCACAAAAAATAAAAATAACATTACCTGACTCATGATTGGTAGTGTGACTAAGCAATTGGAACCATATCTACGGCTTGCTCATACCTTCTTATCTTAGGGACTAAATTTTTTTAGTTATCAATTCATTTTTTCAATGGCAATATCTTTTATGTTTCCTCTGTTGAAGAATATTAAAACTTTATAAATTTTAAATAAATAAATCAATAATTGCTTGGCAATGCCACGGATTTGTCCAGTACGGGACTCATGTTATTTTTTGAAATATTAAAAAAACATTTTGTAAATATGTATCCCTACCTGAAATATCTTAGTGCTAGATAAAAATACACATAGAAATCATTTCATTCCTATTCATAAAGAAAAAACCAGATCGGAATTTTAATTTCTCATTGTCTTTCCATTGTGGAATCTATGCTGCCAGTTATATCTTCGACAATTTATTACTAATTCCTTCTTTCATTCGATATCTTATTTAAACATTAGAAAGCTTTTTTGTAACTGTTCGCATGATTCGCCGCTGCACAATTACTCCTATTACTAATTTTAAATATTTAAGTACAGTTTGTCTACGGTAAGATACTACGGTATACATCCGCCGCAATGTTTGAGGCCGTCTGCTGATATGGAAACAAAAATTGTGCATTTCAGGGAGGGTAGCTTCTCTTCACTCTAGGACTAACACAGCAGACCGAAAAAAATTATTCATTTTCTCTCGCCGACCACGAGCCAAACCCTGTCCTAAGGAATGACCCAGCAACCCTATTTGGAATAGTTATACCTCGTTACCATAGTCACCGCCACATGTCCAGATGAATGGCAAGGGGAGTTCTTACTTTAGACAAAGTATAGGCTTCAAAGTCTCACGCTAATGCTAACACTACGCAACTAGCGAACTTCTTTGCTCCATAATGGTGGACATTTCAGCTCTCACAATAGAATAGTTATTAAATTATTAATAAGTTATTAATAATGCTATTACTGTTTATACTATAAACACTGTTTTTCGAGCTCTGCCCCCTAGGAAAATAAAAAAAGTCATGGTTTAAGTGCCTTACATTTGAAGCAATACGATGATTTTAAACTATACATCTTGCCGGGAAGAATAATCTGCGATTTAGAACAGACAAATAACTTAAATATTTCAGAAAGTTATTAAACTTTTTGCTAATTTGGTGACATTTTTCACTTAGATGAAAATTATACAAATTCACAGCCGCATTCTCAGTTTTTGCAAATTTTTATGAGCCCAGGTAATGAGCCCCTGCATAGGAGTAAGTTTTTAATTATTAAAAAAATTAGACCACAAACGCTTTTCTTTTTCACAAAAGTGTGGCCTTTTCTCCATATTTGTGCCATTTTTAAAATGAGAGTAGACAGCTCTGGCTTTAAATAGGCTAAACTTGATTTAACAGTCATGAGTAATAATTGCTAACTCACAACAGTTATGGATCATTTGTTTTAGATAATGTTATTTGTGAAATATTTTTATAGCATTCTCTTTTAATTCTGAGGAAAAAACAACAAAAAATATCTTTTAGTAAACAAGCTTCACCTGTCTGGGGAAAAAATAAAAAAAAATAATCTCTAATAATTCAAACTACTTTGAACAATTGATTATTAATTGATTAATTATTTTTGCGTGAATAGTGCTATAAAATAAAATTATATCATAAAATATTTAGACATTTTATCACATAAAATATAGTTATATCATCAAGTAGCGTAAATGACAACCTCGCCACCTCCGCGGAGTGGAGATTGCGGGATTGGAGGAAATTTTATCGTAATTTAATGAGTTTTGTTATTTCGCAGCACTTGTTAAAGCATTAAAAAAATTTGAGTATTAGAGATTCAAACACTAATTTATTTTAAGTTGGTTACAGTTGGTAAAAAGCTTTTACAATTGGTGAAAGGGAAAAAAATATAAAATTTCTTTTAACCTTATTTTAGAATAAACAAAACATTATCGTTGCTTTTTGAATCATGAATAAATAAAATATATTTCAAATAAATACTAAAAACATAAATAAATATTAAAAACATAAATAAATCGTTGTTATTGTTTTAATTTATTTACGCCGCTCAAGAACTTCTCAATGGGCTATTGGTGACGGTCTGGGAAACATGACTAGGATGATCCGAAGACGTCCCATCACAATTATGATCCTCTGCAGAGGGGATGGCACCCCCATTTCGGTAGCCCGATGACCTTCGCGTGAAGTGGAATGCTTTAGAGTAGAACAGTTTAGCTAGAACCAATACTGCACAACCTCGGTTCCATTGCAAGCTGATCAAAGTGATCACCCACCCGCTCACTGTCCACAGCCAGTGATGCTTGACTTTGGTGCTCTCCTGGGAACAGTGTCTTAACGATCAGTCCACTTCCGAACTAGAAATATTAGAATCGACAATCTATTATGTAACTGAAAGTAATTAATTAAGTTGTTATAATGAATGTCAACATCAATAGTAATATAAAATAATTATAATTAGCAAAATAACAATTATAAATAATGGATGTAAACAGTAAAAAATAGTTATAATAATTGAAAATAAATAGAATATTTAAGCATAATTATAACGATTAAAAACTATTATATTAAATGAAAATAAACAACATTTTTAAACATAGTTATAGTGATTAAAAATAATTAAATAAATAAGTTTATTAAGAAAACTTATGAATAAAAAAAAATAAAAAAGTTTGAATTAACTAATTAATTTCAAACTATAAATCACTGGTTACGCAAATAAAAAAAAAGATTGATCTCTAATCTTTAAAAAATAAAGTTAAAAAATAAATTAATTTTCAAGAATATTAAAACCATCATTCCATCATTTTATATTAAAAGCAAGGATCTTCTATTTAATCCTCTTGGCAAAATACCCATTCCCCAAGGGCATAGAGTTGTGCCATCCTTTGTAACGATGTAAAAAAATGCCAATTTTTTAGAAACAAAATAGTTAAAACCATTGCAATTACAATAAATATTATCGCTTAATCAGAAAATATGCTTGTAAATGTGTCTCATTACAAATTCTTTGACGATCGCGTGCATAAAAGATGTTTCCAATTTAACAATGGTAGAGCGTCTGCAGTCACGAATGCCAAATAGAAAGAAATGGGCAACAACTTGTTTTGATGTGTATGACATAACGTACACAACCTGAAAGTTGTGTCACTTCTTTCAAATCTTTTAGTAAATAAAAAAATGAAAGTAAGACAGATAATTGGCGGGGGAAAAATTAAAAATGGCATAATCATATGATTTATTATGATAAAGTGGTTACTGAAATAGCGATTTATTCTGACTAATTTGGCGATAGAATTTTATTCTCTTGATTTTATTCTGATTTTAATTGCAACCAGTTTTCTCTAAAAATAAAAAATAAGAACAAGAATAAATTTTTCTTAGTTATATTTTTTTTATTAAAAGAATTATATAAAAGAATTAATTTTTATTAAAAGAATTATTTTTTGTTAAAAGATTTTTTTTATTGAAATAAATATTAAAAAAATTTCAACGATAAATTTATTATTTTATAGCTAAATATACACGGAAAATACAAATTTTATTTTAAATTGGTCTAAACAAAATTAATAACTTTATTTTATTAAACAATTAATATCATCGAATAAATGATAAAAATTGTTACAAAAATGAAATATGTTCATTTCTTAAGATAAAAAACTCTTTTTAAATCATTATTTATTTCAAATATTATCTTTAATTTAAAATAAATATGTTACAGCAAATTTAAAACGGACATTAAAAGATCTTATTGTATTTTAAAGATGCAACTGCATAGACAATACTCACTTTCATTAAAATTTATTTTAACAAATATTAATACAAAATTTGTTGCTAAAGCCATGTGTAGTAAAACAATATGAAATAGTAGTCTGCCACTGAACGCCAGATGTAAAGCATCGGCTTTGANTTCACATGAACAGTGATCTTTCATTAAAATTTATTTTAACAAATATTAATACAAAATTTGTTTAAAAAATTGATTTAGTCGTATAAAAGAAATTTTTGCAACAATGCTATGCCTTTACTATTTAAGCTCAAGAAAAGAAAAAGTCTTTAAATTATGGTTTCTTCAAAATGATGTTTTAATTTATTTTCAATTAAGCGAAGAATTTATTTTATTATCAGCAAATT